CTATACGATTTACTAGAAAAAAAGAGAACACAGCTGTGCGGCCATACTATGTAAATAGATTATTTCAAAAGTGTAGCCGGTCGGCTATACTCTATAATTTCTTTGAACGTATAGCCGCACGGCTATACACCTAAAATAAAATTTCTTTAAAAGTATAGCCGTGCGGCTATACCACAGACTAAATTCCTCTTTTTTTAATTACTTTAATTAGTAGTTATATATTATTTACTTAATGAATAATTAGTATTTAAATATTTAAATATATTTATTTCTATTCAATAATATGTGAGTATTTTGTGTATAATCCTGAATTTTTTGTATATTATTGAAATTTTTATAAAAAACAAAACAAGAAAATTACATATGTCCATGTACAATACGTGTATTATACGTTAGCATTTTTTTTTAATTTTTAAACTTTCATTTTACTGAGTCTTTAAAATGTATACGGAAAACGGAAGTGCTATTGAAAAGTACGTATATATGTGTATACACCATCGAGAAATGATCGAAAATTTTGTCTGCTAATTTACTTATGTTTTCGTAAGATATTAACTTTGTTGCAAGGATATGGTGAAATGAACGACCACATGTTGACAAATAAATACGAGCACTGCAAGCAGTGACAGTCGACATACAAATTTACACTTTTCATTTTCGTTTTGGGATTTACATGGTAAGTGTTTTGGGCCGACACTTTTATGTGGGATTTTAGGATTCTCTACTAGAAAATTGGTTCAAAATCTTGCGCTGCGAAAAAGTGTAGGAACAAACATTTACATGAATATGAAGATAAATATTGCTTATCCATTTTGTGTGGCCCAAAAGAGTGCAACAAACAAACTAGTCTCAAACATTAGCCAATCTTTTTCATTGGTTGGGATTTGTGAAGGTAATGTGTCCTGAATTCTTCTTTGAATGGGCACTGTGATGCATTGCTATGCAGGCACATCATACAGACCCCAACTCCAACTGAGCCTGAGATTTCCCAGTTTTGGCATCATATGTTCATCTGAGGTTAGTGTATCAAGGCAACAAGTTTTGAAGCAAGTGGATAAGGAGTTGGATAAGGGAGATGAGCGAGCAGCGCTCTCACTTGTTAAAGATGTGCAAGGCAAGCCTGGTGGCCTCAGGTGCTTTGGTGCTGCTAGGCAGGTTTTGCCAAACTCTGGCTCTCTTTTTTTTTTTTTTTGGTGTTCTTTTTCTTTTAGGACACCTTTTCGGCTTTTCCCGAATTATATTTTAGCAGCAATATGATATATCAAGGTCTGGATTTACTTCATTTACTGAAATGGATTCATTGCGCAAGGTACCCCAAAGGCTCTACAGCTTGGATGAACTAAAGCTGAATGGGATAGAAGCGTCGTCTCTTCTGTCCCCAGTAGATACTACTCTGGGTTCCATAGAAAGAAACCTTCAGCTTGCTGCTGTGCTAGGAGGTGTTTCTGCATGGAATGTGTTTGGGTTTAGTGCACAGCAGATTTTCTATATTTCTTTAGGATTGTTGTTTCTGTGGACTCTCGACGCGGTAATTTCCTTATGCTTGTCTAAGAACATGTCTTGATAATCCATATCATTGAAAGCCTTGAGCTGTTGTTGGAAGCAATCACAACAATCCTAAAGATTGTAAGCTATACATCAAGTGATATTGAACATTTACCATAAAGAGAATCCGCTGAAGTGCTTTTCTTGTTTGAAGTCATTTCTAGCCCCTCTCGACATTTCAACTTTTGCTCAATTACAATTTCCATTCTTTAATTACTTTAGCAAACAAGAACTCCTAATGCTTTTAATGCCTTATTATTTCACTACATTCTCATAGGTATCTTTCAATGGAGGAGTTAGTAGCTTGGTTATTGATACAATTGGTCACACCTTTAGTCAGAAGTACCACAACAGGGTCATTCAAGTAAGATCTCTCCCTCTCTCCTTCCCTCCATCTCTCATCTTCTTATATGCTCTTTCTGCCGATGGTTCTGAAACCTTCGGATATTTTGTTGTGAGGATATCCTCATGAAGTATTCATCTAAAAGAGAAACTATTTATGTAGCATGAAGCTGGCCATTTCTTAATTGCATACTTGGTTGGCATCCTTCCAAAGGGATATACACTATCCAGTTTGGAAGCTTTGAAGAAGGAAGGATCGATCAATGTTCAAGCTGGGACTGCTTTTGTGGATTTTGAATTTGCTGAAGAGGTATGCTGCCATTGTCTATGTAAAGCTTCGTCGATGCTGCTCAACGTTGATCATATCTTCTAATTCTGTATTTTGATTATTATCCTTGATTTATAGCAGTTCCCATTTCATACAGGTCAATGCGGGGAAAGTATCAGCTACCGTATGTTTCTACCCTTCACCTCTAAAATTTCTCCTTCCTTTTGAAATGAGAAACTTTCATGAATTGGAAATGCATCTTATTAGACGCTGAACAGATTTGCATGCGTAGCGCTAGCCGGCGTTGCTGCTGAGTATATTTTATACGGCTATGCTGAGGGTGGTCTGGCAGATATTAACCAGGTTTCACTTGATTATGTTCCTTTTTTTTGGGGTCAAATTTGATTCTGTTGTTCCTGCAAGCAAGACAGACATAATGGAACAAGTTACTAACTGGATTGTGCTTGCTCTTAAAATAGCTGGATTCGTTGTACAGAAGCTTAGGCTTCACACAGAAGAAAACAGATTCTCAAGTCAGATGGTCTGTCTTAAACACTGTCCTAATCTTGCGCCGTCACGAAGTAGTGCGAGCTAAGCTTGCAGAGGCCATGTCAGAAGGAAAATCTGTAGGATCTTGCATTGATGTCATAGAGGACACCATTGGCAATGCAGACATCTAAGCTAATGGTTCTGAAAAACTCATCAAGCTTTGATGACATTTTTTCTTTTCTTTCATTTATATGGGATGTAAAGTATAACAGATTTGAATTTCTATATCTGTAAGGAATTTGCAATGGAGTATGGAGATGATAGTCAATTTGGATGAATCCAAAGATTTTGATTCAAAATAGCCTTTGGATTATATATATGCACGCTTCCAATTCTTGACCAGCTTTTGTGACTTTGTAGAACCGAAATAATTTTTCCTTTTTGATGGAAAATCTTCGTGACACATTTTGTTATGGGCATAAAATGTTTTACGAAAACATTACCATAGGGGCCCTAAGTAAGTAATGATTTTTTTTTGTTTAGTTTTAATTAATACTAGCCTCTCTGCACGCTCTTCAGCGCCTGCGAGAGGCCTTTTTTTTAAAAAAATTTTAAATTTATTTTAGAATTAAAAATAATAATGGTTAGTTGTGTTTCATAAAAATAGGATTTATTATTTGATTTTTCTTTTAATTTTAATTTTGTAAATATAAAAAAGTATGAATTTACCATATTATTCTAATTTAATTAATAATTTTAATTATTAATAATTTAATATTTATATTAACTAAAAGTATTTTCTGATATTTTGAATGTTTAACCGTTCTCTACTTTTTATTTTATATATAGATGCTTTCTTTGTTCTTTGTGAACGAAAAAACATTATTTAAGCCGCAGAGAATTCCAAAGTGGGAAGCCCGCATAAAAACGAAAACGAAAACCAAAAAGGGCCTCATCTGCTGTCTCCCTCCCACTAAAACAAAACCAAGAAGTCATCGACCAAGTCTGCAACTGCAAGTCAGAAGAGTCGTCAGAAGTGAAAAGTAAGAATGGAGGTACAGTGGATTCTGTTGTGCCATGGCTTAGTGACAACGCTTGTTCTAGTCTCCTTCCTCTGTGGCCAATGGCCCATCTTCGAAGGCACGCCCATCCAACGCATCCACCACTTTCTCACCTTCGGCGCCTACGATTACTTTCAGTTCAGTAATCAGTACCTCTCTGTCTCTCTCTGTCTCTCTCTGTCTCTCTCTCTCTTCCAATCACTTATATTTCTACTGGTTTTGGTTTTGTTGAGATTCAATTTACTGTTATTTTGCAGACGATTTGTTGGGTTTGTTTTTGGGGCCAAGGGAACTAATGCCATTTCCTCCGTGGAGTATTTCTGCTGTGATCGACCCAATCCAATTTTGCAGGTTCGTTTTTTTGTCCCCGAAACAGAATTGTCTAAATTTTTGTGATTGTAATTGAGAGATAAAGGGTTCTGGTTAGTTGACTTTGTTCATAAAGTTGTAATTTTCTTTGGGTGCTTTATTGGGAATTGAATTGTGGCTTCATTACGGTCTCATTCACGTTGTTGGTGTTGCTGCTTCTGGTTAAACTCAGTTTTATTAGATAATCCAGTAAAAGGTTTTGTCTTTCACGTTGTGTGCATTTTGGTAAATCTGTGGTTATCTTCTTGCTTGGAGTAAGCAGAACATGAGAAATCTTAACGGAGCCAAAGTGAGGAAAATGTGGTAAAAACAGACTATTGAGGATTTGGTGCTCCAAGTTACAATATTTCCAGATAAAGGTGTATGAATGTGCTTAAAAGTTGGTAAATTTGAAAGAATCCTTAGGAAGTGCTTAAAAGTTGGTAAATTTGACAGAATCATTAGGAACTGCTTAAAAGTTGGTGAATTTGAACTGTGGCTGCAATAGAAGAAAAAGACTAGGTGTAACTGTCAAATACGAGTGCCTTCGATATTTCCACCTACTGATGTGGACAACTAGGAATTATTTTTCTCTTTCTCTTTGATTCAGGATTAATGGTTAGTTTTCTGTTTGTGCAGATAATATATCTTGCAATTGTAGGAGGAACGTATTTCTTAGTTGCAAATTCTTCCTTCGGTTACATTCCTGGCTATTATATCGGTGAAATTCACAGGTATGTGTCAAGTATTCTGTTAACATAAAATTTCCCATTTTTTAGTACTGAATCCTCTACGCATTCTCTTCTCTGTTCTTTCAGGTATACAAGCTTGTTGGCTGTTGGCGTCGGTGTTCTGCTCTTTCTATTAACTAGCTTTTCTGATCCAGGAACAGTGAAGGCTGATAATGTTTCTCAGTATCTCTCTGCTTATCCCTATGACAATGTTATATACTCTGAGAAAGAATGTTCAACATGCAAAATTCCAAAGTGAGTCCTGCTTTATTGATTTCTTTCCAATGTTTTCTTTCTGTTGTCTTTTTTTTTTATGGAAAAGATTTATGCTGTTTGGTTTTGTTCCTTTCTTTCCTTTTCTTACTTTCTCGTTTACCTTGTCCTTCTTCCTCTGTGGTTTAGACCTGCCAGGTCTAAGCATTGCAGCATATGTGATCGCTGTGTTGCCCGCTTTGACCATCATTGTGGATGGATGGTCTGAAATTCTCGAACTATTCTTCTTCTTTCCCATCCCTTCCCTCATATATAGGACATTTTATGTGGTGCTGATTGTGAATTTAACAACATGGTTTTGATTGCAGAATAATTGCATAGGTGAGAGAAACATCCAGTACTTCATGGCATTTCTTTTGTGGTGAGTTCTATCTGATGCAACAATAGTTTGTGTTTATGTGTTTTGTGTGACCCTTTGTTTTCTCCACTGCCTGTGCTTCCCAAATAATTGACTGTACATGTTGATGGGTATGATGGGTAGAAAATCGGTTTTTTCACGGATTGATAATGAAAGGTTATCATCTGCATTCTCTTTTTGAAACTTAACCATCCAATGTTTGCATATGAAGTTAGTGCGAATAAAAATTGGAAAAACTTTAGATCTTCTGGTCTATGAGGTTTTGAATTTGTTTATGGCATTTACCGTTACACTCTTGAAATTCACAACAGATTACACTGGAGAATAACCATTAGGGTTTAGGCCTAAAATTTGCACGAATGTTTCAATTACAAATAATGAATAAGCATTCTATGGTCTTAATGTTTGCATGAATGTGTCAATTCCAGACTTATGAATAAGCATTTTTTATCTTATTTTCTGTTTTACTTAATTGCTCTGTCAATTTTAACTTTATTTTAGCTGTGAGGTAATATACTACACTTTTTGTTTATCTATTTGTTATAATTTCTTTAGTGCTTTTTCAGGCACACCTTACTTTGCATATATGGAACAGTGGCCATTGGGTTAATTCTTGCTGGACAAATTAAAGAATTTAAAGTTATTGATATCCTAACTGGTAAATTAAGTTTCATTCCATCCTCCTACTTGATGATTGTGTTTCATTTGAACCTAAATAACGTTCCTTTCCCTAATTTCTTCATTGCAGTTTATTATGGTATAGAAAATTCTTTTCGCAGTTTATCACCGCATGTTGTGCAGGTAAGTTGATTTATAGCTTAGAAATGTGTATAAATAGGCAGAGTCTGAACTCTTCCGTGATAATAATTTGCTTTCATTAAATCATTGAGCTGGAAATTTTGAGGGTTATAGGGTTCAATTTTTTTTATATGGCGTGTGGTTTTGGTACTTTTTGCATGGTTGTATATTTCTCTACTCATTTATTTTTTGTTTCCTTTTTTCATGCTGCTCATTGCTTTATTCTTTCCTGATGCATTACAGTGGTTGTTGGGGGCCTACAACACTCAAATACTTCTTATGGTGTTTCTTGCAATAGTTTCACTGTCATTGGCGGGTTTCTTTGGTTACCATGCAAAACTTTGTCTCACAAATACTACGACAAACGAGGTCTCTCTCTCTCTCTCTCTCTCTCTCTCTCTCTCTCTCTCTGTGACTTTGTTGAATAGTTATGTCTTGATATAAAGTTCCAAAGAGGGCAGGATAGAGGAGGTAATAATGATGCGGGGCAGAGATAGTTCATTAGGCTCCATCACTCCCTCGGGAAAAGAAAGCTTAGCATAACAGTGGCTTCTGTCATTACTTAAACATTGGAACTTAGTGTGTGCATTTCTTTTGAAGCAGACTTTCAAGTGGCAAGAGTATGTAAGCTGGCAGAGGAAGCTAAATGAAGCAAGGGCGAGTTCTGCAGCACTAAAAGCAAGTATCAATGGGATGAGTAGTGAAAGAAAACCTCCAGAGAACAAATGGAGAGCCATGTTCCGAAGATCCCCACTTAAGGATGTTGAGGTAGTGGTTACGAATAACATATATGACAAAGGATTCTTTCAGAATATTCTTGAGATCATCATGCCCCTCTCAAGAAGACAGTTGTCTCTGCGAACCAAATCGAAGTCTGGCTGAGACAGATTGCTGGCCCTTCAACCTTGTATGCTTTGCTTCTTGTTGTTTCTTCCAGCAATTGAACAGCTTCATAGCCCGTTCTCGCAAAATTTCTCATGCTTGAACAGCGGGTGACACCAAGAGAGGGATCTGGCAAAGATCAGATGCTTGTTCTGGCTTTGTGTATCATTATTGCAAGCCATCTATGCCTACGGGATATGGCCGACTGCTTGTGATTGGTGGTTCATTCAAGGATATGTAATATAATGAAAGTAGCCGCAATCACAGTAGACATTCAATTTGTTATGTTAACAATTAGCATAGGGGATTTTTCTTGTAAAGCCGACTCTTTTTCCCTTTTTTTTTTTCTTTTTCCTTTTTCTTCTTCTTTCAATTTCTGTAAAATGATATCTTTACTCATTGGAAGAAGAATGATATAAATTGTTAATCTTTCTATTCTTTCTGACTAAAGAAATGAACTGTATTTGATATTTGGGTCTCCCACTTCCATGTAGAGAAGAGGTAGAGAAGAGCTTGCTTGCAGCGGCCTATAAATGGGCGGGAATGAAAAATCACGAAAGTAAAGGGGCTATTAAAAAATAACCCAAAAAACTATTAAAAGACCAAAACACCCACATATTACGTCGTCGTATAATCACATAACCTTGTATTGCATAGCTCAGAGCCAATTGCTTCATGTCATGATTGATTCTCTTCGATTAATTTGAGTCTGGGGCGCCAAGAAGGGAGGTAAGGCTCTATTTGGATGATTACGATTTTTGTTTTTGAAATTTCGGAACTTTCTCAGTTTTCTTTGAGATTCAATTTGATTGAATTTGTGAAATTTCACTTTGTGTAGAAGTTAGTTAGGGTTTCTACGATGATATACACGGCGATAGACACGTTCTATCTGACCGATGAGCAATTGCAGAACTCGCCGTCGAGAAAGGACGGCATAGATGAGGCCACGGAGACCACGCTCAGAATCTATGGCTGTGATTTAATCCAAGAAAGTGGAATTTTGCTCAGATTGTATGGTTTCAGTTCCGGTTTGTTTTAATTTGTAGAACTTCTTGTTGTTCTTTTCTTTGAGGGTGAATTTTGTTAACTTTGTTTGCTTCATTTGATCACTTGCAGACCTCAAGCTGTTATGGCCACTGGTCAGGTTCTGTTTCACCGATTCTATTGTAAGAAGTCCTTTGCACGCTTCAACGTCAAGGTATTTCTGCTACATATATAATTACTTTCTGAGCCATTTGTTTGGATGCTGATAAAGGCAAATGACAGTTCTTTAATTTGTAGACTTATTGTGGTTTTCTCTTTGGGCGGTGAAAGATGAGTACTTTTATCTTCAATTAGTCCAAATAGTTGTTTAGCAGACGTTCTTTCTAAAACCATGTCCCGAAATTGAGAGGAATGAATGATTTCTTTTAAATTTTTGCCTTGTAATGTCACAACTTCTGCATTAATAATGTGATGCTTTCTTGTAGAAAGTTGCTGCTAGCTGTTTGTGGCTTGCATCAAAACTGGAGGAATGCCCTAAAAAAGCCAGGCAGGTTATCATTGTTTTCCACAGGATGGAATGTAGGAGGGAGAACCTACTCATTGAGCCGTTGGACCCGTATTCAAAGGTTAGAGCTCATATAATCCACATCATACTAAAGTCATTGTCTTCCATTATCATGATTTTGAGCCAAAAATGCATGCTATGGTTTATCTTTGTCTTCTTTCTTTCCAGAAATATTCTGACTTGAAGATGGAGTTGAGTAAAGCAGAAAGACATATTTTAAAGGAGATGGGTTTCATTTGTCATGTTGAGCATCCTCATAAGTTTATATCAAATTATCTTGCCACTCTGGAGACACCACCAGAATTAACACAAGAAGCCTGGAATCTAGCAAATGACAGGTACCTCTCCCAACATATGCCAATTACTTATTTACTTTCTTGGTACTTGGTTTTTCCATGCGACTTTGAAACTTTTGAACTTTACATTGTTTAATTATTTGGAATTTTCTGTTTTACTGGATTATGTGTCTTTGTTGTCCTTGTTGGTGTAGTTCATTTGAAAAAATTATAATCAATGTACTATTTTGTTGGTTTAGTACTCACTAACCTTTTAACTGCAGTTTGCGTACAACATTGTGTGTGCGATTCAAGAGTGAGGTTGTTGCTTGTGGTGTAGTTTATGCTGCTGCTCGGAGGTTTCAAGTGCCCCTTCCTGAGAATCCGCCATGGTGGAAGGCATTTGATGCTGAGAAATCAGGGATTGACGAAGTTTGTAGGGTGCTGGCTCATCTGTACAGCCTTCCTAAAGCAAAGTACGTACCAGTCTGTAAGGATGGAGATTCTTTTACATTTTCTAACAAGTCATGGAATTCTGGGTCTCAGCCAAATCCAAAGGTAGTTCTGATTCTTTTTTTTCTTTTCTTTTCTCTCTCTCTCTAATTCCTGCCCCTCCCCCTTCTCACTCAAGATTTATTCAGAGCTGGGGGCTCTACAATATTCTCTCTTATCACTGCAGTTGCCCACTTGTCAGCATTTTGCTGCCCTGCTGGCTGTGAGCAAGGATGCCAACTGCAGGCTGACGAGAATCTGCTCTATATTGCATCATACCGAAATTACATTAATAATGTGGAGTTTTTTTTTTCATTGCTGTTTCATAGGAAGTTCCTACGAATAGCCCATCAGCTATTGACAATACCTCTAATATAAAGGCTGCAGCAGAAGTCAATCCTGACTCTGGTGGATCAAAGGGTGTGTTGGCCAAGCTAGCCACTGACAAGCTGAAGGACTCTAAAGAGAGTGATGAAAGTATGCCTATTGAGGGAGAGGCAAAAGAAGATTTCAGTATGAAATCCAAGTCTGAACGCAGAATGGAATCTAGTGGTGATAAAAGCAAGGACAAAGAGAGGGAGAGGGAGAGGGAGAGGGAGAGAGACAGAGACAGGGACAGGGACAGGGATAGGGACAGGGATAGGGATAGAATGAAGGTCCGGGATCGTGATAGGGGCAGGGATTCTGACCGGGAACGAGATCGAGAGGAGGCTGAGAGGGACAGAACCAAGGACCGAGGTTATCGTTCCAAGGATAGAGCAAAAGATTCAGGTTGGTTATGGGTTTTAATTCCCCACCACCACATTGTTAAAATTGGATTTATGAACTTGCGTCATTTCAAATTTTCTAATCTCCGAAATTCTTTGACTTGAACTTCTATATTGAATGCACAATATTAATGCAGGGGGCCATTTGGAGAAATCAAGACATCACTCGTCACGAGGTATGCTTATTCAAGAATAGTTCTTATAATGTAGGGGTGGTTGCGGTTCGATAACCGCGAATTTTTGCTTAAACCGCAAACCGACCGACTATTTGCGGTATGGTGATTTTTGAAACTGTAAACTGACCGCTTTTTGCGGTTTACTGCATTGCGGTAAACCACAAAAAATGGTCGGTTACCGTGAGTTAGCGGTTTAAAACCGCAAGTTCTTTTTATGTCATAAAAATCCAATCTTCTACATTTTAGGCCTAATTTTGATGCTTCTTTTGATGCTTTTTGATTTCAAGCATACTTAAACCCAAAAATATAAATTCACAACCTAAATAATAAATTAACAACCTCAACTTCTTAAGCATATATAAATTCTCAACCTCCTCAACTTCTCAAACATTCACAACCTCAACTTTTCAAGCATTCCAATTCCAAATCCTTTAAAATTACAAACCAAAAGGAAAATGTAATGCAAAATGAATTAAAGTTGCAACCCGAAGGAAAAATCTAATTCAAAGTTAATTAAAGTTACAAACTAAAAGGAAAATGTAATGCACCAATGTTACAAATTAAAGTTATAAACTCAAGTATTGGTGGTGGTGAGTGGATTTGAAGGATTCCGTTGTGTTGTTTGAGTATCAATGCTATATACAAAATGCAATTTTTATTTATTTATAAATATAGTCGCGGTTTGTGGTAACCGCAAGTTTTGAAAATCAAATACCGCAACAGCAACCGCAAATGCGGTTCGGTTCTTTATACCGCAAATGCGGTTCGGTTTCCCGCGATTGTGGTTTCATTGCGGTAAATTGTCGGTTGGTTTTTGCGGTTTTTGGGTCTAAAATGGTTGGTTTTTGCGGTTTTTGAGTCTAAAATGCCACCCTTAGTTCTTATAATGTATATATAATAATATATGCTGCTTCTTGTTTCTTCAAATTGTGTCAGTTTGATTTGAACCCCGTCATCTGACACTTACCCTTACTTTGCAGATCGTGACTATCACAATTCCTCCTATTCTTCCCGGGATAAGGATCGCCATAGACATCATTCTTACGCTTGAACTGATCATCAATTTCAAGACATCTCTCTTTCTCCTAAACTTCATCGGAACTGAAAATACTTTGGGCTTTGTATGTTGACAGAAAATGTAAAAGTGAGCAATTGAGACTATTTATGGTTATGGATATGCATGATTCTTTTGACGCGTGACGTATTTTTAATATATTATAGAAACTTGTCTGTGTAGGAAATCCTAACAATATAGGAAACTATACAAAAAGGAAAGCAAATACAACTTTGAATATATAAATGGAAACTAAAATTACCTGATCCGAGAGGGAAAGATCTCTATATAAACCTCACAACTCAATTGGTTAATCCCGTAACTAGCAAACCTTTCTTTTTGAGATTCTTGAGACTTCAAATTAATAGCTCTCTCAGTTTTTCTTGTTAAATTTTAATCAAGCCTTGTGCATTGCATTGCCTTTCTCTTCAATTTCCCACCCATGGAGAAAACAAAATCATCCCTTCATTCTCCCACTAATGGAGGTCTCACTACTATTCTTAGCATTGATGGAGGTGGAATAAGAGGGATCATCGAAGGAGTTTCACTCGAGTTCCTAGAGTCTGAACTTCAGGTAAAAATAATAAAACTACAACTCTATTTTGAGCAATATATTTCATTCATTAAAATATATGAGTCCAATCTGCAATTTTGTTAGCTCATAGAATGTTATAGGAACTTCTACGATATAATATAATGTGGCATCACTCCTTATTACACGACTGCCACCAAGTGCCCCAAAATTTTATCACGTCACAATACCACTAAGTGTGCATATATATTGCAGGTAATTTATTAGTAGTCCCTTTTATCGAATATGCAAGTATAGCAGTAAAGTCTGCATTATAGGATACGGTCCTTAATTTGTTAATGTCTCTGCCAACATGTTCACTCTCTCTGTAATTTTCAAACATTTAGGCTTCATTGCCTCGGGGCATTGGCGCAGAAACCCCAGTTTATAGATGGTTGCTTAACTTTAAGCACATTGAACATAAATAATGGCGATCAAATTCAA